CAGAGAATAGATGGGGGCGGGGCCAGTCAGAGGTTTTATTTACCGGTTCTCTGAACTACTCAAAATTTCCACTACCGGTTCTCCAGAACTGGTCAGAACCTGCTGAATCCCACCTCTGATCTGGAAAAGTTATTGGCTTATGGATCTGCATGTAGATAAGGTAGTAGAAAGAAGATATGTTTTTTGTAACATTGCAGGGTTGAAGAATTACTAACTTGTTTAGTTTTAGAATTGTTTGTACTTATGATGAAGATCAGAAGTAACTTCTTTAAATATTTCTTTTCCTTTTTTTCCCTACAGTTAGTCCTCAACTTAAGACCACAATTAAGCCCCAGATTTCTATTGTTAAGCAAGATACTTGTTAAGGATTATTGCTCCATTTTACAGCCTTACTTGCCATAGCTGTTAAGTGAATCACTGCAGTTGTTAAATTATTAACACAGATGTTATGTGGATCTGGCTTCCCCATTGACTTTGCTTTCAGAAGGTCACAAAAAGTGATCACAGTCCCTGAGACACTGGAACCGTCATAATTACATGCCAGTTGCCAAGTGTCTGAATGCTGATCACATGACCATGTAGATGCTGTGGAGGTTGTAAATGTGAAAAATGGTCACAAGTCCCTTTTCGTCAGTGCCATTGTAACATCAAACAACCACTAAATTGTAAGTTGAGGACTCCCCATACTTGCTTTTTCTTTTCTCGCCTTTTTTTCTCCTTTCTTTTTTTCTCTGAGTTTAATTTATATTTGTTTTTGCCATTCTAATAAAATTTTCAATACAAAATGAAACATAATTAAAACATGATTAAAAATGAACAGAATGAAGATTGTCATGGAGAAATATAAAGCCCTGTGTCTGAGTAGGAAAAATGAAAACAAGATATGAAAATGAATTGGACATTCTTGTCGACTGCAAGTTAAACCAGAGCCAGCAAAGCAATGCTCTGGCTCAAAAGACCAATGCTGTTTTGGGCTGCGGTAACAGGAGAAGTGTGGTGAAATTAGTCTGGATTCCTAGGAGGGAGGGGCTGGTTTCTGGTGGTCAAAGAGAATGTGGAGCCTGGAAATTTTGATCTGCAGAAAGAGAGTAAAATAGTGATTGATTCCCCTTAGTGATTCCCAGAATCCTTCTGTGAGGGCAATGGGTGGTTTTAAAATTAATTAAATAAACATCTGTAGTTATGCAAATAGTTGTTTTGTCAGGCAAGTTTCTGTCTATAGGTGAAAAACGAGAAGCAAAACTACTCAGAAGTAACTCCATGTGTTGTTCCTCGTTTCCTTGTTCTTGGGGCCTGAGAAGAATGGAGGTTTAGCTTATTCAACAAACAAGTAGCTGTTTACCAGATTTATTTTTCACTCCTCACAAGACAGGACATAAACCCTGAGAATGCACAACTTCCCTGGTCCTTTTCTTGCTTCCTTTTTGCACCACCCAGGTAAACCCTTGTTAGTAATGGTATAAGGCTGCTGTCATCCATAATCTGGTTGTGGATGAGGAGAGGTGACATACCTGAGACTTGGGTGGGTCAGAAGGGGGAGTTCCCCTCTCAGAGCTACGCTCAGATTTGGCACCAGCTGCAAACTCAGGCCAGGGCATTTGCTGGCAGTTATCATTTGGGAGAGTTTCATGGTTTTCGGGGGCCCTTCTCCATGGATGACCAGATGTGAGGCCCTCCAGCTGAAGTTGGGCTGTACGAAGCAGGTGGTGGGTTGCCGCTGCTGCAATACCATTTCTGCCTGCTTGTTTCCTTCAGGTGGGTTGGTAGTAAAAGCTCCAAGGCTTATCATGCTTGTAGATTGTAGTCTGCCTCCAAATGGCCCGGAGTCTGGGACAGCTCAGGAGTTTATGATCACCATAGCAACTGTGGACCTGTCTAAAGTCACTACTAGGGGTTGCATATCTATATAAATAAAAATGTAATGGTTGTTTGTTCAAAATCGCTAATCTCTGAAAGTGCTTCGCCGATTGCTTTGAAATTTTGACACAACGTTGCATTC